AACATAAGAAAAAAGTAAAGCGAGACTTAAGTATGCCCACTCACACACTACTATATAACAAAGAAAAGAACTTGGTGCAAGTATTTTTGATGCTGTGAAAATTTCTTCTCAATCTTATGATAAAATGTACTCTGATATTCATAAAAATAAGCACGCAGTGCAAACATGAACATAACGCAATGAAACAAAGTAAAGGGAAAAAAAACAGGAAATCAAACAGTACAATTTCTATTCTGAGTGACAAATAACTCCTTTGAGTTTCAACAGTGTTGGCGAAATGTGTCAGAACATGTCAGGAAAGCTTGGGTACTTTCTCAACTTGAAGAAAATAATTTACATAAACCTGTTCTTACCTCTCTGATCACTGACACACTAGTCTGTAATCTAGTGCTATTATTAGCAATGCAGCTTCAAGCGATCCAGTAGGACCCTCAGAGGTGATGTATATAAACTCCACTGCAGAGCAATGAGAGAAATTCCTTTTACAACTTTTAATATTATAAGGGTGTAACAACAAACACTGTCATGGTTATGGAAATATGATCAGGGTAAGGAAGTTCTCACTGGATACAGAGGACACGGTCTCCTGCATTAACAGCTGACCTTAAGTATGAGGAGCTGCTGTGGAAAATCAGTCTGGGTAGATGAACTTTTCAAGTCTGATCGTCTCCTTTATTTACGAAATAAATGAGGGAGCTGGGGTGCATCATAGGAACATGACTACGTGCACAAAGACACAAAACAGCTTCATATTTTCTATTAAACTTACTTCTAACCTCTCTAATGTCTCCTCAGCAGAAGTATCGCTGTCCTCAGAACATCACAGATGATTGGGCATGAAACGTACTGAATTAAATCAAACCCAATTGCATCGTGTAATCAGTCAGCGCTTTTGCATCAGAGCTGGTTTGTTGGTGGTAGGTCTTGCTGGGGGTTTCAATGCCAAGCTCTGGTTGTGGTTGGTTTCAGTAAATTTTTGTTTTTTGCATGGTTACATTGACACTGCGACATGTGGCGGCTTAAAAACATTTTATTATGGAACTTGATGGCTGCAGTAATTGTTTTAGGTCAAGCATGGCCAAATACGAAGCTCGCTTCACAGTCAAGCAGTGGTTTAAAGGCAGACTGTTTAGGAAATCTAATGAGGCTGTCAATGGACGAGGCTTTAGCAGTGGGGAACCAGCTTGTAGTGGAAGCCATCAATGGCACCCAGTGTGTCTTGTTGACACCCACCTTGGCTGCTCAGTGTGGGTACAGCATGGAGTCTGACCCCTGGGGTAACACAAGAATCTACACGTCTCTGATGGGCTGCTTTGTGGACAACAAGGATGATGCAACATTTAAAATTGGCTTGAAACTCCAAATGTACAGCCAGAGGCCATCAGATGTGGTAACTCATGAAGTGAATCAAACGTGCAGCTACACTCGCTGGGCCCCTAAAGAGATTCTCTGTGACAGGAACTACATGGAAGTGTCAAACTACTTGATGAAAGCTAATCCACAAACTAAGCGGCCGGCTCAGGATCAAAATGTTGACTCATATCTGCTTGAGGACTCTGGTGCATCACATGGTATCTGGAAGATGACATTTTTCACCCCTGAACCAGTGGTAATGGTGCCAAGGGAGGCTGAACAAGCTGGCTACAGTGCAATGACTACCTCTAACAGACTGATTATGCGAAGCCCTTACAATACACCAGAGACCTTCTCAGAGGATGTGGCTGGAATCCCCATGAAAGTCTTCAAGGTGAGCGTCTACAACAAGGCAGAAAGTGGTCTGGGTATCGTGAACTTGGCAGCAGCTTGTCCCACGGGGGGCGTACTCTTCATTGAGAAGAGTGTGATCTCTTGGTACATCCCTCGCCGCATGACCCCTCTAATGGACGGCACATTCAGAATTGTAGAGATGCACATGGGCATCAATGGGCAGAGGCTGGATAGGTCTCAGATGGCTGCGAGAGGGTACACACTATCCACCACAGACTTTCACATTGTTGCCGAGATCCCAGTGGGCTCACCCGATGGTTACTACAAGGTCTGGAAATCTACCTCAACATGCGACTTGTGTGTTTGTATGTGCGTTTTATTAAAATGCTATAAATAATTGCAGAGTCATGCCCCAGAATACCAGTACTATGTCACCTACACTGTGGAGCCAATGCTCGAGGTACTCTGGAGGGCAGATGGGACCCAAGATGATATAAAATACAAGGTTTTGTTCCCCATTACAACGCCTCTGATGCCCAGACCTCCCCATGTGGAAGATTATACGGTTCCAGAGGACGGTGTGTTTAGCGTCATGTTGGGGGGCTTCTTTAATGATGTGGAGCTGAAGAACATCACCTTTGTTACTGGTGTTCTCACTGTGGAGGAGAGCAATGCCAGAGGCCTGATTGTCCAGGAGCACATCTACACCAATGGCACAAAGGGATTCTCTTTACAAGTGTCCTTCGATGCCGATGTTGTCCTGAAGACCAATCCCGAACCCTTGATTACAACCTACTCTCTCCCTTTGACCGTTGGGCTGATCATCCTGCCTGATGGAA